AAAAGTATTGGAGTAGTCTCCAAAATAATAATTTCGATGCTGGGCATTGACAAGATAACTCTGAAGCTCTCAACTTTAAGATCCATCACTTCCTCTGCCACCATTTTCACATTTACCCACACACATATACAAACAAAAATTTGTTAGTCAATAATTATCACCAAACTGTGGTTATAACAAGGCTTTTGGATAGTTGTGCTTGTTGATGTTCTAGGTTCGAATGATAACAAAGTACATCCGTTATCTATATTTGAATTACACTTAAATTCAAAATAATATATCCAAATTTCTATTTTTCTTGTCTTGGCCACTTGACCAGTGTAGTTTTTGTAGACGTTTTTTTTCACTTTAAAATATAACTACATATATCAACTGATTTAACTTTTAAATTTTTTGTTCACACTCAAATAGAAAAACGTAAGTAAGCTAAGCTATCAACCAAAAAAAAATACTAATTAAGATTAAATATTTTTGCGTTTATATGAAATAAAAATTAATTTCTGATACAAAAGAATTAATATTTTTGTATTTGTTGGTGTTTCACACTACTATACCTTTTTAATAATAAAGAAACACTATTTCTTTTTCTATTCAATAAATATATGTTTTTTATTTGTGTAAATTCATTACCTTTGTTTGTTTTTATACCAAATGTTCTTTATATATAATGCCACTTTACTCGATTGAAGCCAAGAACATATCAAAAACCCATGCAATAAGCACAGAGAAAGACCAAACACTTTTGTCTCCTCTTTCTTCAAAACCTTTACATATGATCTTTGCCTCTTTTCTTACAATGGGTTTTGCATAACTTGCACCAAAAACCTTCCTCAAAAACCCTACACATTAAATCTCCCTTCACATATTCCCAACACAAGAACGAAACTCTAAATCCATTTTCACCAAATATTTTCCTTTTTCAAATCCTAAACACTAAAATGGATTCAAATGTGTTCATCAATAACCCATCTTTAACCTTACCTTTCTCTTACACCTTTACCAGTAGCAGCAACAGTAGCACAACCACAAGCACCACCACAGACTCAAGCTCCGGTCAATGGATGGACGGTCGGATTTGGAGCAAGCTACCACCTCCACTTCTTGACCGCATCATCGCTTTTCTTCCACCTCCCGCGTTTTTCCGGACACGTTGCGTCTGCAAGAGATTCTACAGTCTACTCTTCTCCAACGCTTTCCTCGAGACATATCTACAACTACTTCCTCTTGGACACAACTGTTTCCTCTTCTTCAAACACAAAACCCTAAAGAGCTACATTTACAAGAGAGGAGGAGGAACAAACGATGATGATTCCAGTAAAGCTGAAGGCTTTTTGTTTGATCCTAATGAGATCCGATGGTACCGTCTCTCTTTTGCTTATATCCCTTCAGGGTATTATCCTTCTGGATCATCAGGAGGGTTAGTGAGTTGGGTCTCCGAAGAAGCTGGTCTTAAAACCATTCTCTTATGTAACCCTCTTCTTGGATCCGTGAGTCAGTTGCCACCAATTTCAAGACCAAGGCTTTTCCCTTCGATAGGTCTCTCAGTAACACCAACCTCTATTGATGTTACTGTCGCTGGAGACGATCTCATATCTCCTTACGCCGTGAAAAACCTCTCCTCGGAAAGTTTCCATGTTGACGCAGGCGGATTCTTCTCCCTCTGGGCGATGACTTCTTCTTTGCCACGGCTTTGTAGCTTGGAATCTGGTAAGATGGTTTACGTGCAAGGCAAGTTTTACTGTATGAACTATAGTCCTTTTAGCGTTTTGTCCTATGAGGTTACTGGAAACCGGTGGATCAAGATTCAAGCTCCCATGAGGAGGTTTCTCCGATCTCCAAGCTTGTTAGAGAGCAAAGGGAGGCTTATTCTTGTAGCAGCCGTTGAGAAAAGCAAGCTTAACGTTCCCAAAAGCCTTAGGCTTTGGAGTTTGCAACAAGATAACGCCACGTGGGTCGAGATTGAACGGATGCCTCAGCCGCTCTACACACAGTTTGCAGCTGAAGAAGGCGGAAAAGGATTCGAGTGTGTCGGAAATCAAGAGTTTGTAATGATTGTGTTAAGAGGAACCTCGTTGCAGTTGCTGTTTGATATGGTAAGAAAAAGCTGGCTGTGGGTCCCACCGTGTCCTTACTCCGGCTGTGGTGGCAGTGGCTCAGGCGGTTCAGACGGTGAGGTGTTGCAGGGTTTTGCTTATGACCCGGTACTTACTACACCGGTGGTTAGTCTTCTTGATCAGTTAACACTTCCATTTCCTGGAGTTAGTTTTTAAGACTTTTGGTTAAGAGACTACTTGTTGTTTCCACTTCTGGCTTTAAGACTGCTTGTTGTTTTTCTCCAAAATTCTGTTGCTTTATCTTATTCCTGTCTGTTTGTAGTAAGTTTATATTTCTAATGTCAAATGTCTAATCTTTGACAACAACATATACAGACAGATATCTTTTTGCGTACAAACCAATCCTAAATCCATCAAACTCAAAAACATAAGTCTTCGGAGAATGGTTTCACTTGAGCTTAACCTGGAGAATGAGATGAACTTTGCGGTTCATTATTCTCCTGAGTTCTTCATTGGCCTCAATTCCTATCCTCCTGCAAGATTAGCAGATCCTTGAGTCATCGATTAGTCAAAAGAGTGAATTTTGAAACGGCGTGTGATCTTGTATGCTCTTACCCGATTTTGGAACCGCCCTTGCCTACAAGAATTTTGCGTTGGCTAGGTTTAGGAGTGATGAGATGCTGTTCAATTCTAAGAGACCCGTCACGCAGCTCTTTCCAGTCCACTAGACGGTGCTCGACGCCATATGGGATTTCCTACAATTTGTTTCAATCAATCCTGTAAATTGTCATCTTTGGGATAGACGGAAACCGATACAGAAGATTATCTAGTAGAGGTTGTAGTATTACCTGATGAACATGGTCTAGTAATCTCTCCCTAACAACTTCAAGAGAAATGTTCTTCAAGACTTCTTCACTCATCGTGAATGCATCTTCTTCCCATGGTTTTTTTACTGCCTGATCCATTAAATATTGGCTAAGATCTTTAACTCCTGATCCCTTAAGTCCAGATATCATGAAGTACCTAGAACAACAACCAGGGAAAAAAAACAAATTTTTTCAATCAATTCGAGATACTTCCTCGGTCATTGTTTTTAAACTGAGTCAGGTATAGATATCTACCTTTCATATGCCGGAAGATCTTGGAACTCCTCAGCAACCTTTAACAGATCTTTTTTCTTCTCAACCAGATCAACTTTGTTCATACATAAAATGCGCTTTTGTTTCGGATTTTCTTCTTCGCCCATGTATTTGATCAAGCGTACCACTCTTGAATCGGGACTATATATATCAAACAGAAAACATAATTCACAAACTACAAAATAAGTCTGAGAACTCTATTTCTACTTGTCAGTAATGCAAGACCACAGCCATGAGTCCTTTTTCAAAAGAAAGAAATAGATGCATGTTTCCATGGATAAGCTCGGGGAGATGAACAAGATATCGAAACAGAGAAGCTAGTAATAATAAGCCCACCATACGATACCCCACTTAATAATGCTCCTAACCATACTACTCTCAGTTACGAGATAACTTATGTGAAGCTAATATAAAGTACAGAAACGAGTAAATGACTAACCTCATGAGATGCCTATGGACATCAAACATAACAATGAGGACATCAAACAGGTCAACAGAAGTCCAAGCATTTTGCACACGAGATTTAATATCTTTGTAACCATATCCGCTTTTCTTCAGCATCAGACCCGGAGTATCGAAGAAACACTGCATGGTTCACAAATATTAAATATTTCAATCTACAAATGATTGCAACCATAAAAATCTTGACCTCAGAACTTAACCATACCAAGTAGTTTCCATAGGCAACAGATACAGAGAAAACTTACGACTTGTGTATCTCCTTTTGTCAATACTCCTAACACTTCATGAGTCGTCGTGTTAGTCTTCCGTGAAGCAGCAGCAACCTTTGTTCCAACCTAAACTTAGACATAACGAAACACTAAGCATAATTATCAACAAGAGGCAATATAAAGATAAACAATCACTTTAAAAATCGCAACTTTAGGATTAAACAAAAGTCATATCAGCTCCAAATTCAACCAAATAAGCAACGAATTCATACATAAACATATACACAAAGTCTCATTCGATTCTCAAAGACCAATCACAGAAATGTAAAAATTGAGGAAATGAGCCAACCATGAAATTAGTCAGCGACGATTTCCCAGCGTTCGGTGGACCAATGATACCGACATTAAGAGACTTCTGATCTTCTTCTCTAACTTCACCTTCACCAAGTTCTTCATCAGGTGACTCTAAAGCCGCCTCTAACAGAGCCTTAGCGAGAATCCTAGACCTATCAATATTATCCTCATCATCATCCTCAGAGCTCACTTCTTCTGCAACTTTCAATTTACCTTTCTCAGTCAAGTTTCCAAAGAAGGCTTTGTTCACTCTTTCTCTGTACCCTTTATCCCAAGTTGCTTCCTTGGGCTTCTTCACAGAATCTCCATGGGAATCTTCGATTGGGTATTGACTACTATCGAAAACAGAGTCGCTGCTTGTTCCGTCTTCGTTGACGGAAGTGGGTTCGTCTAGATTCGGCTGCGCTGAGTAAAATCGGCGGAGAAAGTTTTGAGCTTGATGGGATTTGTGAGGTGTTGTTGTTCGTGAGATGGAAATTAGTATACGTAGAGATCTAAAAGCTTTCATTTTTGCAACAATGGTAAAGTAGCGATCTCGGAACAAAGAGGCTTCGAGGGTTTTAGAGGTTTTGATGTTTTGGGGAAAGTGGTGACAAAGTAACTCAATATTACAGATAGGCCCCTCATTTTTTTTGCTAATCCACTTTTAATCCCTAACTTTGTATTTGATACAATAAGATTAAGAGCAATCCCAATTTGGAGGTATCAAATGACTGAAGTACAAGGCTACTAAGTTATTAGTCTATTTTATTTTGGGCAAAATATTAAACATAATGCAAATATTTTGGGTGAATCTGTATAATATAATACTTTGATCAATTCAGAAGAAAAGGAGACAAAGTTCTTCCTCCAAGTCTCCAACGACAAAAAAAAAGGACTAAACTTCTGAGAAAAAACATCTCTGACATCCCTAAAACAATGCAAAGGTAAAACTAACTCACCTGGCTAAAGAATACAACAGATGGAAAGTAATAACTTAAAATCAGATCATAAATTCAGTATCTGAAAATCTGAACAAAAGTGAGTGAAGACTTGTTGTAACAAAGCCCCCCATCATATCGCCTTTTCTTTAACGCGGGTTTGGTTTGGTGCCAAATTCTAAAACGCCATTCGCCCAGCAAGCCTACTTTCTGAGATTCGTCTGTCTATGGCTGCATTTATTGAGTTCATCTGCAACAAGTACCAAAAGAAACAAACTTGGTTCTGAGTTTAAAAGTTGGATGCTTTATTTTGAAAGAGTTAAGCGAGTTTTCGTTTTGGTTCCCCAAGGCCTTGTGATTGTGCAAAGGCGCCAAACTTTGCAAAGTTAAGAATATAAAAAGAGCTGACCTGGGTTTGAAACCAAACCTGTAGAGTATGATCTCTTGTGGAACCAATCACCACATTTTTTATACAATACAAGAGACAGAGGAAATATAATGAAAAACAAACAGATACAAACGCAATTTTCTTCACTACCTATTGCGAGTACGAGTACTATAGCTACTAATGATACCTTTCAAACATTAATGATTCAAAATGCTCAGTTTTTTGCCTAAGTAATTCTTATCATATTCTAAGGTAAGAAATTATAAACTGAATAATATGGTGGTACCTCTTAGCACAGAAACAATAGGATCTGGAATAGAAAAGTATAAATAAAGCCTACCAAATGGGTTAGACGTGCAAAAGCAAACTCTTCTTAACTTTAAAAAGGGCAAATCAGAACTTACCTGGCTGGTTTCATCGTGCACTTTGTATTTCGGTAAGGCCATTCTTCTTTCCTCCTGCAGATACAGACACATTGTGTCAGATTTAAAACCAATGGATACCATTCCAACATGATGTATAGGAATAAACTAACCATAGACATCGCTTCATCATCCCATACAAGATAGACCTCATTAGGCTGATTGCTAGGAGCTTTATTTGCAATTACAGGAGGTGGACCAATTGAAGGACCGCTAGTGTTTGGGCCAGAGGCATAAGAATGAGCATTAGTCCCACCTATTGCAACAAAACATGATAAAGGTATTACAATTTGATACGAAACAGCTAAACCAAACGTAAGCCAATGATTCTAAGAACTTAAGATTGAACCTGGAATAGAATTGTTAGGTGGATAAGCATTTGCTGATCCTAAAGCATCTGCATGAGACGGTTGCTGAGCCCCACCAACAGGCAGAGGAGCAGAAAATGGTGAAGCTTGAGAAGGAATGCTGTTATTCACAACAGGGAACAGAGGTTGAGGAACCGGCATTGCAGGTGATGATGAAGGAATCCCAGGAGGAGTTACTCCAGTGACTGGTGAAGGTTGTACGACAGGAGCTGAGGTTGGCTGAGTCATCCCCATATTTTGAACAGGAAAAAGTGGTTGTGGTCGATACCCTAAATGGGCAGCTGGAGGTACAGAAAGAGCTGGATTTTGTGGATACCATTGTTGTGGACGAGGAGGTGGCATTTGCCATACAGGAGCAGGATGACGCATAGGAGGACCAGGATAATACCTGCTGACACGAATTTATTTATCATGGTCAATAGCGATACATATTACAATATCTTAGATCATGAACTATTTCAAAAAAACTGTTTACTACAGGTGTTATTGTGGTCTTCAAGAGGAACAAAAGAATGGTTCTAGGACAGAGTTCTATCTTGGAAAATCCCAAGAACAAGCTAAGGAAACTAAGAACCTTATGAATCATATTTGGTTGAGTGCAACAATATCTTAGATAGCGATCTCTTTCAAAAAATGTTTACTAAGGGTGTTATAGGAGAACAAAAGTAGAAAAGTTCTAGGATAGAGACAAGCTAAAGAAACCAAGAACCTTTTGCATCAAGAGAACTAAAAGAAAAATCTTTCCCCATCACTTAGCATGGATAGGATTTTGAAAAACAAAGATAACATCTGAAAATTCAACAAGTAACTGCGACAGAGAGAGTATAGTGTAGTTAGTACATACATTGGTCGTGCAGCACCAGGAACTTGTTGAGGCGGATATACCATTCCATATGGTCTAGGAACTACACCACCAAGAGGGGCGGACGGAATCTCAACTTTTGCAACTTTGGCTGGAGGCTCTTCCTCTGCAGAAAACATAACTTCAGTTCAGAAGGTACCATATAAAATAAGCCAAGACAATAACTTAAAAAAGGCGAAAAGCCGCATGCAAAATCAAAACGAATTCATGACCATTAGATGCAACAGATCCACATTACTTGATGAAGAGACATACAAATTCCTTGCCTTACTTCTCCAAATGAATTGCTGATAATGTAAACAGTACTCTCACTTCCTTACCTTCTTCTCCGTAATGAGCAGCCAAGACATCGGGTGGAATTCCTTGCATTCCATATATTTCAATATCAGTTGAATCTCGACCCGTTTTAGCATTAGGAACCCTGGAGTGAAAAATGTAAAAAATATCAAAGTTAGTAGTGTCATGAAAATCAGAAGAAGTGAGAGCTATATAATCGTGCGTCTCCGCAAACCCAAGCTATGGAACTAAAAGAGTTATCTAATCAAATCAAACGAAATCAGCCTAGACAAGAACTGAGTTAATCTTACATAGGTCTCAAAACTGAATGAGTTACTCAACTAAACGAAGCAAAGTGAAAAAAAAAAAAAAACCAAATTCCAAATTCAACATGCAAACACATTGACCAGTACCACAAATTCCTAGAAAAACCTATCAAGCAAAAGCAAAAGACAGTTTCTTTACCAAAATTTGCACACAGAAATTAGGGTTTATGACCAGACATACAAAATTAACCAAACCCATTCAATAGCTAACACAAAAAAAAACGATTCAAATTCCCTAATCATCCAGTAAACATGCACATTCAACCGATTCAAACCACAAAACAACAATCAAAATTAACGCAATCTAACATAAATCAAAAGACGATCGATCACACACAAGAGGATAAAAATCAGAACTTGACCAAAGATCATAGAGGCATCAACCCTAATATCCAAATTAACCTAATACCAAAAAAAAGTGCTAAGAGGAGAGAGCAAAAGAAAGAGGCACATACTTTGTAACATTCTCTTTATGAACCTGAAGAACATGAATCACCATGCCACTAGCTGTAGAAAGCTTCTTATGACAGACATGACACTTAAAGTGCTTAGCTTTCTGATGCTGCACAAGAATCTTCTCATCATCAAACTCTCTATCGCAGTAATAACACCACACCTTCTCTGAAGCTCTCTTCTTCTTCTTACCCATCACTAAACCTTTCTCCTATGTCTTGATTTCAAGATTCTAATTGAAATCTCTCTCTCGTCTCTCAAAGTCTCGTTCTTTGTCTCCTTCCTCCGCTCGCTAGGGTTTCTAATTGGTAACAAGCGTTTCTTCGATTTCTTCTACGATCTTCAGATTCTCTGTTTTTTTTATTTTATCTAATGGTTTACTCTTCTTTGTATTTATAAGAAAAGGAACTTTCTTGTGTAATACTGCGTAAAAACCCCAAAACTTTGATTAATTGCATATGTTTCCCGAATTCTCACTAAATTCTATATTTTGTTAGTAAGAAGGTATTGCAAAATAGTCAGGATGGCCGAGTGGTCTAAGGCGCCAGACTCAAGTTCTGGTCCTCGTAAGAGGGCGTGGGTTCAAACCCCACTTCTGACAATTATTTTTTTGTTATTATAAGACTTTTAATTCTCTTTCTTTATAGTCTCATTGTTGACTATGAAAACTAAGATCGGACCCGCCGTCCACCGCGGGAGAATATTGATTTACATATGTTGCGTTTAATATTGTGTGTGTTTTTTAGTAGAACGAATCGTGTAGTATACTTATAAATATTCATAATAACGAATTGTAGAGAAAATGTAAAATTGTTTATAAATATACCCATCGTATTAATTATGATTTTAAAAATAGAATTTTGTGTTTTAAAATTCTAAAATTAGACGATTCATGGGAATTAGAACAGTCAAAATAGGTCAAAAACCGCGGGTCGAGCCCACATCATCTCACTATGGGGCAGATTTGGGAAAATATATTAAACCCGCAAATAAGTGGGTCACATGGATTAATTCGCAGTGGGTCATAGGTTTAATCGGTTTTCATCCGCAGGTTGGCGGATCAGCCCAAATATTAGTATTTATTGATAAAATTATAATTTATTCAACATGTGGTAATTTAAACAAACTTTTAATAGTATTTTTTATTTATTTATTTATTTTAGTAGTATTTGAAATTTTGGTTACTTTAAAATTATTTAAACAAAATCCATGGACAATCCCGCAAATCCGCATACATTCGCGGGACGGGTTTGTATTTCATATATGCTACCCGCGGGTCGTGTGGACCGACTAACTACAAGTCAAAATATTTTTTGTCTATCGCAAAACGGACTTAACGGGACGAATCAACTCGCTTTGACAGTTCTAATTGGAATATTATTTAGTCATACAACAAAATGAAGTTTGGACATAGGAATAATATAATATGTATCTTATTTGTTAGATGAGAGATTGAAAGATGAAGTATAATGATTGAAAATTAATTGTTATTTTTCATGATTCACAAAATTTAATAAATACTTATCATCTTGTTGAATAATTCTAAAATCATATTCAAGAAATCTTTATAAATTGAAAATTAAACTTCTTTGGTAAACTATAGGTATAAAAATATCATAATTTCGATTTAATCTAATTAAATTAAAATTAGTTACATGGATTTCATATCTATTTAATTTACACGACCAAAATAAAAATATCTATTTAATTTACACGACCAAAATAAAAATATCAATTTAATTTATAAAATAGATGGGTTATTTGTGATAAATTTTCTAGAAATCTTTAGAAGCAAGTAAAATATCTTTCAATTAATGATAATTGGCTAAAATGAATGAAATTAATGACAAAAACGTTGATTGTTATGGAATTAGTCCCAAAAATATATGAACAAATTTATTATACGTAATTAATGTATAATATTGTTCAGAATATGCTTTTATTATTAGTTATCATAAGTACAATCAGATTTTATTTGATTTCCATAAATATTTGATTTTAATTCGATTTTTCATTATTAATTTGAATTTATATTCCAAAAAAATTTCAAAGATCCGATTTTAGAATTTCGGGTCAATTTTCTGATTTTAACCCGACCCATTTTCATTTGTACTTCTCTTTTAATAGTATAGAGATAACGTATAAAAAAATATGTTGTTAAAAACAGTAAAAGATTTTAAATAAGATTTTCTATAACTTTTTTTTTATTGTTATGAGACTTTTAATTCTCTTTCTCTATAGTTTCATTGTTGACTATGAAAATAACGTATAAAAAGAATATATGTTGTTAAAAACAGTAAAAGATTTAAAATAAGATTTTCTATAACAAAGAAACTTTGACCAGAAAACATAGTTTCTATAACAAAGAAAAAGAAACGATAAGAGATAAGAATTACATAACTATTAGAAAAGATTATAAATAAAGGATAGTTATTCATTATTTCTTAAATACATACAAAAAAACCTTGCAACAAAAAATTTATAAAGATATGGGTGCTAAATTGAATTCAATGATTTTATTAATGTTCGTGGTAACAATGGTAATAGCAATGGAAAATGTCAATGGAGAGACAAAAGCTCAATGCCAAGATAATTGCATTCTAGGTTGTGCCACCACCGGAGCACGTCCGAACATGTGCCTCCAGAGTTGTTACCGTAGATGCCAAGGCAAACCTGGTCGTGCATTAGGTAATCAACTAACCATTTTTTCAAAAAAAAAAAACAATAATCTAACAACTTTGGAAATATATCAAAAAAAATATATATTTTGATGATTATTGCGATTTTTTCTAACTATAGAAAATATATTTCCTCTTTGTATCAATATATTTATTTTGTGAAGAATTTAAGTAAATTCAAGTAAGTTTGACTAGTATAATAATAATTAACAATGGAATGTTCAAATGATTGAGCGATATAATTAATTTTCAAAAATGTGAAAACATGAAAATATTATAATATCATAAACTAAAAATATTTCTTCTTTGTATAGTGGAAGCGCGGACTTAGAAGAGACGAAGAAGTCATGTATCAGTGTTGGACTCTTGGGACTTTTAAACCAATTTTTATTTCTACTTCTGTATCCTTATGTAATCAATTGTAACGCTATTAAATAAAAGAAAATAAAATTTGTCTCATGTTACAAATTTTGTCTCGACTTTAAGCATGTCTCTGTCTAAGACTCCTCTTAGATTTGAATCTCATATTTCATAATTTTCGAAGTGACATGTAGCGGCTCATTGCTTTTCTTGATTCATATTTTCAACTTTAGGTATTTCAAAGTGTACTATACCTTGTGGATAAAGCAAATCCATATGACCATATTTACATGAGACAAAAGTGAAACCATTAACCATCTCTGTTTCAGCTGCAAGAGAGAAACACTTTGTTCCAATTTATAGACTTAAGATAAAACTGCCACTATCACGTTTCTCCTATCCAAAGAAAAAAAAAGAGTACGTAATGAAACAGCAAAATTGGCTCTCACTTGTTTTGCCGTTTCGCTGTGCTTAAATCCGAAGCTTTTATATTTTTCTACATTGATTTGAGTTAGAAATAATTGGTACGTCGCGGGACTTTCTGATTTTAACCCTTCATTAGCTTGGTTTTATGCGTTGAACCTCTCTGCGGTACATATATTATTGGTATCTTATAATAGCAAAAGAAAAACAAAGAAATTTGAATACACCAAGAAGCCAAAAAAAAAAAAACTATGATGAGAAGAAACTCATCCTTAAATGAGAGTACCGATAATATGAAATTAGAATGGTTCATTTCTACAAAGAAAAGAAGAGAAAAATTAAGTTGACAAATCAGAGAATACCTTGGTTTCTTCACACTCGGTGAGCCAATGAAGTGATCCATACGGGCTTCTTGCAATCAGGAATTCGATATGGAGAAGTACCGTTAACCAGAGCCGGTCCGGAGGGCAAGCAAGTGAAGCCATCGCTTAGGGTCTCACATTATAAAATATTTTTTTTGGGAGAATTTTTTTTTTACATTAACAAAAAGGCCTAAATTTTTAGTTATGCGTAGGGTATCAAAGAAAATTTTGAAACTTTGGACCGGCCCTGCCGTTAACGTACCTCCAAGTGATGGTGCTAAAATCGAAAACTTCACAAAGTAGTAGCATTGTCTAAGCCAAACTCAGATGAATTATATAACCAAGTGCCAGCTTGTAAGTCCCTAAATTTGTCGTTACCGAATCCAAGACTAGGACATGAGAAGTCATACTCTCCTTCTTCATAACCTCTCGATGATGAGATGTTGAATGTTGGAAAGAGGAAAACTCACTGGTGTTATGAAAACCGAGTTTTAGAAGCTGCAAAGATACAACTAACCATTCACTTCTTAATAACTCTTTTTCTAACTAAAAACGTTCTCTTCTTCTTTCCTAACATTTACGTACAACAAAATTTTAATTTAACCTTTTCTTTTTATTCTTGCCAAAAAATGAATTTCAGCTATTGTTGCACCTAAAGGGAGACATCCTAGTTTTAATTTCAGCAATGTTCTCTAGCTTCCGTGAAAATATCAATATCCAGATTATGAAACTTATGAAGTCGAAAGGAGGACTTATTTTAATTATTTTAACTATAACATATATAATGCAGACTTATCATTTACACAGTTGACATATATATTTTTTTGGAAATTTCGTGTGCGTCAGGAAATGGCTGGCATTTATTTTTCTTTCTTTATAATTTCTGCTGGATCGTGTTTCTTTAAAAAGAGATTTAGTTAGATCTTTACCAAAGAAAGTAAGCGTATGTACTTGAGAAAGAGCAATTTGATACGTGTCGTGTAATTATCGCACTAATATTCTAATTATGGTTTGTATTTTATAAGAAAACTTACTAGCATCGTGGTCGGGTGGTCATAAACAAACTAATTATCTTGGTCATAAACTAATTATAAGAAAGCTTACTAGCATCGTGGTCATAAACAAACTATGTTTTGGAAATAAAAAGTCTTCGTCATAACTTAATCATTTAGCATAATTAACTAATATTAACGTACTCGATGTCAAAAAATAATAATGTTAATATTCTCCTATATAGAAGTCAATTCAATATGTCAACAATTGGAAAATTTCAGACTGTCTTATGGAATAATGGGAATACGTATGAAAAATAGGAAAATCAGGTATAATATCAATTAACATTTTAATTGATTAATTTGACAGTCAGAACAGACAATAACGTGTATAACATTACGTGACCAGAATTGTTTAAATATATTGAAACTGTCAACAATTTGAAAAGCCGTATTAACTTCGTTGTTAATGTAAATTGGTGTTGATCTTGTGTATATAAAGGAAGGGCGAGACGAAAGTAAATTTCACCAGAGACGATACACGAACACAAAAAAAAAAAAGAGAAGTAATCGAAACATAATTAATTCATCAATGGCGATGTCGGGAACATACATGACGGACGTTCCTCTGAAGGGATCGGCGGAGAAACACTACAAAAGGTGGAGTAGCGAGAACCATCTCGTCCCTGACGCCATCGGCCACCTCATCCATGGTGTCACCCTCCACGACGGTGATTGGGACTCTCACGGCGCCATCAAGAGCTGGAAGTACACTCTTGGTTCGTATATCTACTCTTTTTATGTCTAGACTCATGAGTATATAGCCACTTTACAAATGATTTGTCTTAACATGGAAAAAAAGTAAGGTTTGTTTAAGTATGGTAAGATATGAATGTGTTTGGTGATCAGTAAACAAAATGTGGTGTTTGTTTGTGTGATGAAGATGGGAAGGAGCAAGTGTTTAAGGAGAGAATTGAGATGGCCGATGAGAAGATGACGGTGGCGTTCAATGCGCTCGATGGTCAAGTCATGGAGGAGCTTAAGGTGTATATAGCAAACTTACAATTCATCCCCGGTTCCCAAAATGGCTGTGTTTGCAAAGTTAGTGTGATTTGGGAGAAACGCACCCAAGACTCCCCAGAGCCCACCATGTTCATGAAGTTTCTCGAGAAGATGGTTGCTGACATGGATGACCATATCCTCCAAAACGAGGAATGATGGATCGATATTGTTTAATCATCAACATGAGGAATTATGTACGTTTGTATTTTATTTGTGTTCATCTTGTATAATCATGAAATTACTACTTATATATTATCATCATGGTGTTGTATGTCCAAATTTCAAAAATCTAATATATACAATTGTTTAGTTATTCATAAAGCAAAAGTGTTATTCACTACGAATATTTTAGTTATTTCGAATTCGAAGTGTGGTAACTTTTTTTTTTTTTTTGATAAAAAAGTGTGAGGTAACTTTTGGAGAAATTAAAGAAAGTCCATATTTCCCACGAAACATAAACGGATACCATTTTATGCACATAACTAAGATATAACGCCCCGGACCACATTTTTGCTATCCGTTGCAGCCAGAAAAAATAAGAGTAATGCAACCAAAAAATTTTGTTTCAAAACATCTCTAAGATCCAATATATGCACATAAGATCATTACCACATTTCTCCTACCCGTAGAAGCCAAAAAATAATTAAGAGTAACGCAACATGAAGATTGGTCAGAACATCTCTTGTGCTCCGTAGATGTCACTTGTTTTGCTCTTTGGGGGAGGCAGTTTTTCTAACACCCAGCTCGGAGAGTCACTTAGCCAGAGACCTACACCGGTTTCTTTGTGCTTAAAATCCGGCGCTTTTGGGTGTCTCTGCATGGATTAGAACTATAAATGATTAGTATGTTACGTATATGTGAAAACGATTGATTAAAAGGTAAGGGAGTTTTCACCTTGTCCAATCTATTGTCCCACCACTTATTCATGTTTTCCACCAAGTCCTTCCATGATTCCTCTCCGGCTTCAAATGTTTTACAGAAGCAAGATTGTTAAACAATTAAACAAAATTCGATTGCATCTTCTGAGTTAGAGACAAAATGTTTAGTTGTCATTCCAATTCATAGACTATTACAGATTCATTGGTAAGCAAAGAGTTTCCTTACCCTTTGGTTTTGGTGCATATTTTGGAATATCAAACTTCACGTCTTCGAGCTCGGACAATATCTCTGTGGGAGCTTTGTTAAGCCAAAGAGCTTGACTCCCGTCTTTCTTCTTGAAATCAGGGTGTTTAGGATTAACCTGTAGCAAGAGATATCAAGAAAAAGAAAGAAAGAAGAACCTTAGACAAATGTATCACGGAATTGTAACAAAAAGAACATACTAAGACAAGTTTAATTACCGATCCGTTCTGTTTGCTTTCACGGTAATCACACCATTCATCCGGTTTATCAACAAGATCAAACCAAAGATTAGTTCCAACATCTCTTCCTCTTTGAACGCTAGCTAAGAACAAGAAGACAAATGTTCATGGTTATTACCAATTTTAAACATCCAAACCAGTAAGAATATCACAGTACTGAAAAAATAAAACCGGGATTTCCGCGCTAGACGCTTAGCTTACCAGAATGCTTAAGCACACCTTCATTTTGATTCACCGTTGGCATAACTTTTGGTAGGGCTTTAGAACCTTCAATGTAGTGGAGATCACGAACCATAACTTGATGTGAAAAGCTACCATGAAAGCTTTTAAACAACTGAACACATGCTTGGTCAGAATTTGCTCCAGATTGAATCACATCTCCTAAAATCTGTCCGGTAATATGAACCCGATCGTTTTTCTTCAAATAACTGTTAGCCGTATGAGCTAAATCCCCTTCAAACAGTACCGGAATCCTAATGTTCACAAAATCAATAAATGTTTTATCAATAACAATAAACCAATGCATCATCCTAACAAAGATCATTGCAATTTCAACTTCATAACAAAGATAAGCATAATCAACATGTCCAAAGTAAATTTCACAGAAACTTAGTAATACAAGAACCAAATCCACAAGTACTCATCAAAATGCAGAATCAAAACCCATAAATTCACAGTTCATGGCTTAAAGTCTTAAACTTTACAAGAACCAAATCTACAAGACAATCAACAAAATTCAGAATCAAAGCCATAAAGTCTTCGACTTTAGCGACTTTAGCCAAGTACAGAGTTGCAAAACGACAATAGACCAACATGCAAAACTCTAAAACCCAAAAAAAGCAACAAAACTTCAAAGACTAACCAGAAATTACTAGACGAATCAGACACAGATTTGGAATCAGAAGAAGGTTCATGCGAAATGACTGTGCCTGCCCAGAATTTTCCATCGAGAGTAGAGTCGAACTGAACTGGTTGGTGAACGTACCCAATCAAATCAATAGAATTCGCAATTTTGGGTTGGTACGGTACCTCCGTCGGTCTCGGCCACTCTTCCGTCGATTTCTCAGCTCTGCTTCCTCCTCCGCGAGTACGGCTACTACTTTCAGCAGAAAAAGTTGAAAGATATTGGTGAGAAAGAACCCATGATTGTTTAGAAGCTGAATTTAACGAAGGTCTTATGGATTTCGATAGTGATCTTGCAAGAAACTGCATTTTGGAGAAGATTCAAGTTTTTAGGGTTTATGGGGTTTGACGACAAAGAAAGAAAGAGTTCGCCTTTTTAGATTCTCGTTTTCGACAAAGAAAGAAAGATAAAACGACGTCATTCAAAGTTAACCGAAGCATAAAGAACCAAACCAAAATTGATTCGAAATTTGAAAATATCCTAATGAATCCTAAATTATAGAACTGCAACACAACCAAAATAATTTAGGTTTCCGAAAATATTCGAAATATAATTTTTAAAAATATTAATTTTTTTTAGACAATATAATCAAAAATAGTCGAAAAGTATCCAAAATATTTAAAAATAACTAAAAATATGTCCAAAAATATTTGAAAATAATTGAAATATCCGAAACAAAATATCCGAATGATACTAAACTATAAAACCGAAATAATTGAAACCGAACCGAAATTTAAAATACTTTAGAACTAAAACCGAATGAAACCGAACTGGATACCATTAGGACTATGTTTTTTCTTATAAAACGTTTCGTTTTTGACGGGGCAAATTTAGAGATCGCAGATTTTATGAGGGTTATTTTGTAATTTATATTTTGTTTAGTTCTAACTTCACCGTCCGCGGCGGGAGAGAACGCTGGGAAAACAAAGAAACCTTCAAATCGGGAAATTCGAGAAACCCTAAATCGACGAAAAAGAGGTATCTTTGAATCAGAAGCTTAGTGTGTTCATACGATGAAGAGTCAATGGTCTAATTTCCATCAGGTTTTTCATCTTTCCCTGGTCTTAGACTCTCGACGTTGTCCAATTTCGTACCATCTCTGATTCTATTCTCAAACTCGTTGTCTTCGCAGATTGGGAGAAACTCTTTCTTAGCTGCTTCTGCTGTCTACGTTTCAAGCGAATTCAACTTCGTAAACACATCTCTTCTTAATCGAAGAAGCTTCTGTTTTGCAGAAGGAGGTAAATTTCTTAATATTGGTTGTGTGATACTTTTCAATTGTTCTTGCATAGATACATGAATTGGTTCAAGGGTTTGGTCTAGATTGTTGTTTTAGCTTGATTGAATCGAAAAATATGTGCTTTAGCTTGATGGTGAACTGGATTGTTTACTTTTCTGATAATCAAATTTTAGCTGATCTCTGTAATTTGCTATTTAGATCGATCCAGCTTTGTAGTGTTGAAATCGGAGGCGGAGTTCAACAGTGCATTGAGTAAAGCTCGAGGTAGATAAATGAACAATCATGTGTTTCTTTTGTTAACTACTTCAGAGCTTAGTATTATCAGCTCTGCTTAATTTTCTCTTGATGTTATCTATTTTTTTCAGATGGATCTTTGCCATCGGTTTTCTATTTCACTGCCGCTTGGTGTGGACCTTGTAAGTTTTAGTTCCATGAAAGCTTGTGGATAGTAGTTTTTTCTACGAGTTGCGTTATTAAGTTATGTATTAGTGGTTTGACTCTAGGCAGGCTTATCTCTCCTGTAATATTGGAGCTCAGTAATAAATATCCTGATGTAACAACGTATAAGGTCGACATTGACGAGGTATGTTTGCGTTTATATATCTATCATCACTGGCATGGCTTTTATAGGTCTCTACAAGTGTCATCATGCGACCGAATTCACCATTGTTTATGGTTTTTTTCTGTGGTTAGAAGCTTTTAAAGTATCTTCTATCAAATCCTTTCAATTAGTCGATATGTCGAACCAAATGAATAACTCAACTAACCTAAAGTCTGAGATATATTGCTACACTATGGTTGCTTTAACTGGTTGCTGATGTCACATCCTTCAAAGCGACATAAGTCACTTCGACTGATATTTTGTGGTTGAGTCTCACAGACATAAAGCTATCTTCCTATGAGTGCCATTGTAAGCTCCATTGACAAAGATATCTCCTATTCCATATTTGCAGGGCGGTCTTTCAAATGCTATTGGGAAGTTAAACGTCTCTGCTGTGGTAACATCCTCTGTTCCTTTCAAATATTACTTTTACATTCTCAGATCAAGCATGAACTAGTGTTGCATCTAAATGAGCTCTAATGTTATCAATGTTGAGATCCATCTGATGAGGCATTATGATAATTTGATGAATGCAGCCAACACTGCAATTCTTCAAAGGCGGCGTGAAGAAAGCAGAGATTGTTGGCGTTGATGTGGTGAGGCTGAAGAGTGTCATGGAACAACTATACAAGTGAGAGAAACTTTCTGACTTATGTACACTACATTGCTTTGAGTTGTGATTATTTTGTGCGTTTGCTTTAAGTTAGATTATTTCATTCTCGTGTTCCTGCAATTCATAAGGGTGTAAGTTTGGTTTCTGTTAAAGAGTTTTTTCGGTTTATAGTATAATAAAGACTTTAAGACCATCACTGTGACTTTTTCCTCACAAAGCACTTGATTATCGTATTACAAGCGAACAACATTCGACCTATTCGAAGCCCAGAAGACTTTATGAGTTAAAATAAAATGTTGTATGAGTTTATGTTGACTAATGTAACTTATAAGTTTCATTTTAAATCGTGAAAAAAAAAGAGAATGTGATTTGAACTTATTTCTTGGCCCAATATGGATGAAACAGAGTCGGGCTGGTCTTAAGAAGATGATCCATGTGATTTTCTCGACCAATATAAAACATTTTAACCGGAACAAGAAGTACTAGGGGGTAGGAGTGTCAAAATGGGTAACCCGACCCGACCCAAACCCATATGGGTTCGAGTGTTTAATGGATGGGTTTGATCCGACCCATATATTTATATGGGTTGAATTTACATACCCAAACCCATTATTATAGAAATCCATTAGCTTAATGAGTTATATGGGTACCCATATATATGTATAATAAAATAAATCCAAAAAAATAACATAAAATTGTAAACCAACAAAAGTTTTTAAATAATAAATTAAAAAATCTAGATATTAAAATAGAAAAGCATCCTAAAATCTTAAAACCACAAATCCAAAGAACCATAAAACCAAAAAAAAAAAAAAAATAGTCTTAATTTAAAGAACATTTGAATCCTCTTTAGATGCATCCGATTCTCCCGCATCGAATTCTGGCCTCATTCTTCATCTTCGGCTTCATTGTCTACAAACGAGTTGGAAAAAATATTATACATATATTTTACTTTTTACTTTTATTTTTAGGTAAAATGTAAACTTTAATAGTTATTTTATATATTTTACATATATAGTTGTAAAGAAAAGAAGATATTTTACATATATTTATATAAATTTTACATAATATATTAATATAGATGTATATAAATTTTACTTTTTAGTTTTGGTTATGAAACTCATGGGTAATCCATGACCCTAATGGGTTTTACCCATTAAACCCATAACCCTAATAGGGTAACCCACTAAAACCCATTTATATATATGGGTAAAAAAATTTTACCCAAACCCACTAAAATCATGGGCGGGTTCGGGTAATCCATGGGTATTAACCCATTTTGACACCCCTACTAGGGGGACTTCAAATTTGGCTAAACCAAATCAAGATTAAACCGGAAAATGACAGGACAGTGGTGAAAATCAGTGATAAGAGAAGAAGAAACAAATACAAAGGAGGGAGTTAGATGAATGATAGTGAGTAGGACCGGATTTGACCGGTATAGTACAATCTGTTTTTACAGCTCCATACAGAGAGACTTAACAATCATTAATGAATGAGAACATATTATGTATATACACAACTTCTTATCTCTATCCTTTTATGATTTTATCTTTGTCCTTCTTCTCTTTGTATCGTAACATTACCATTGGATCGTACCCGATACAAACGAGAAAAAAAAAACTACAGATTCGATACTGAATTATTGATTATTACTCGAAGTTTCATAAATTTTATAAGTCATCAGATACTATTGTAATTAAAAAAAAAATGGGAAAAGTTTTGTAAGAAATTGCAAAACAAATTGTGTATTTTTCTTTTTGTTAAAGACAACTATGTAGACTTACAAGTAATGATTTCTCAAAAATTTCAGAATTCTTTTTGAATAATTCCAAAACAATTGTAAATTTTCTTAAATATTTGTAAGTTTTCATCGTTTTCTGTTGCACATAAATATAACCGAAAAATAAACATCACCGATAATTTATCGAATGAACAAGATAGATATGCATTTTCGTCTAAACTAGTTTGGACATTTATTTTTAGATATATAATCAGAAAAATAAATATTTCGTCAATTTAAAGCAAAACAAAGTTGTGGGAGTCTTTTAGGCAATGGTTTAGCAAGGGTTTTATGCTTATACACCAAGTCACCAAGTCATGATTTCAATCCTCATCAAATATGAATTATTACATAGTAATGGATGTAAATTTCAAGAAAAATTGACGTTTCAAAAAAAAAAAAAAAAACATACAGAAAATTTCTTATGTGGTGTTGGTTGAGTCATTCATTAAGATTTCGTGTGTGTGGTAAAAATAATTTTTTTTATCGTGAGTGTGGTTCACATAAAACTAGCTAGTGTGGATCGTTGTTGTGTGTGTGGAACTGTTTACTTGTGAAAGTGTTTGTAAAATCGTTTATGTTGTTTTTTATGTTGCATAAAATTAGTATTGCTTTACTATGAGCAATAAGATCATCATCAATATGAAGATTATTTTCTAATGATCTTATTTTTGCATGTACTTAAGTAATAAAATCTAAATGGAACTTCACTGGCCAGTTTAGTCATTGAAAGAAATCTTAGATTGTCACAACTATTCAATTTTAGATATAAAATTCTCATAACTTTTTTTTATAATAATCCTATTTAAGGTAAAATCCTTTTGTGGTCTTCTTTTACTTCAATCCTTCTTTTGGTTTTATCGAAAGGAAGTAGTATATAATAATTTTCTAATAATAATGATAAGAAAAATAAATGGGATGAGAGAGAGGAGGAGGGTGGGGAATGGTCAAAGGAGAAGGACAATGATTTGGCCCTCTTTTGTTTCTTCAGTACTTTTATTTCAGTCTCCTTTTATTTTCCATATATTATCTCTAATCTTATCATCTTTTTTGCTATTCATAGCAAAAACACAATCTATAGTTATGCTTAAACAGACTTTGATAGCCAAAAGCTGTGATAAAGTTTTATACAATTAAGTGCTAACTATCTATGAAACTTTTAGAATTCCTTAACTTTTGAGTGGTTTTTATATGAGTTATCAATACTTGAGGCAATGATCCTTCAATTATATTTGGCAAATTACCGATAAGTTATATCATATGTGGAAAAAGAAAAATTAACAACCTTGATTACTAGGTAAGGAAGAAGCTATACTATAGGGTCAAGATGTTCTATTTGGTTCAATCACAACATATATTTTGTCATTTTATATAATTATTATATATTAGTGCAATTAAGATTGAAGATACCATCCTATGTCTTGTCATATCAAATAAGATTATGCCATTCCCACAAATATATTTGATAAAGAATAATACACTCAGTTTGTCTTCTACTAGACTGTGATATAGTTAAATTTATTGCAATTTTATGATGCTTATACATTTATGATGGAAAACATATCAAATGTCCTCAAATTTGAGATATCTAGATTCAACCTATAAATATCCGTATTTGGCTTCTGTATATCCATCCAAAAATCAGAATCAAATTCGTAAAAATAAAAAATAATTTATTAATAAATAAAATAACGATATCAAATCCTACATACACTAATTTTAAATTAAATATCTATATAACATTTTGATTATAAGATATCATAAAATAACAAAATTTGATTATTATATGTAAATTTATAAATAAAAGATCACAAAACAATTTATTTTATATATATGATCCCTATATCCAAATGTTAAAATTATGATACATAATCGAATCCGGACTCAGTTTCGATGGATCCAACATACTCTTTGTATGTTAAAAGGTTATATGTCAATTTTATGTAAATATATAAATTTTGATTATTCTATGTAAATTTATAATAAAAGATCACAAAACATTTGATTATATATATATATATATATATATATAATCCTTATATCCAAATAGTAAATTATTATACATAATCGAATCCGGACTCAATTTTGATGGATCCAAAATACTCTTTGTATCTTAAACGGTTAAACATCTTAGACTTAGACTTCTGAATTTTTGAATCAATTTTAAATCCCAAATAAAAATTTAATCCATATATAATATTGTATAAAAGATAAATCGCGATGAAAAAATCACTAATAAATCACTTGAATATATTTTCAAAAACCCGTCGAAATAACTTGGTTTTTCCCGTTAAGTAATACAACTGATATGTAGTAGAATTTTCTGTAATTAAACTGCAGTTTCTGGTAATTAAATCAAGAACATTGTCACCCATTTGAACTCTATAATCAAGAAGACAAAACAAGATCGGTAGGAGGTCCTCAGAGGCCAAAAGGACTGACAAGTGTTTTCAATAATGAGAGTGATCTTTTGGAGCAGTGAGTCAGATCCATCAAAATGGAGAAGACTATTTCTCTCTCCTCTCTCAATTTCAATCTCAAAGAAGGTCCCATCTAAAGAAAGGCTAATAGATTGCCAGATTCTGCAGGGAGTAAATTGGCCAGCTAGTCTTTCTTTCTATGGTCTCTCTGCACCACCACCTTCATCATTTTCAACCCTCCTTTTTTCTTCACATTATATTACTATTACTATATAGTTCCGGAAAAAAAAAAAAAATTTCTTGTGGAAATATGAACTTTTCATCACTATTCAAAGAAATTAAAACCATAAGTTAATTATGGGGTTTTAATAAAACAAATTAATTAGTTAATTATGGTTTTATATCACAAAATTTCAAAAGCATTTGAATTTGAAAACAGTTTGAGTTTTCATATATACAAATACAATAATCCAAGATAGTATATCACTTGATCATGTCGACCAAAACTTAAGACGTAGATCAGTCAAAACCTTGCATATATGCATCAGCATATAATATTAACTCGATCACCAAAGCAAACCAATGATCTAATATTAAGGGAAATAAACCAACGATCTTAATCTATTAATTAGTTAACATTTATAAAATTATAATCAATGTCTCAAAGCTTTAGAGACAATTGCTTAGTCGAGAGATACATGTACATAAATGGTTATTGACTTATTGTGACTCAAAAACAAAATGGCAAATAAAGGATTACTTGATTTTTCAAGTCTCATGTCTTAAGTCTCGCGATATTAAAGGAGGCAAAACAATTTTTGTTTACATTTACATCAAACCCTTTATATGTGTTTGCAATTTGTTTCTCCTTGAGATAAGTTTGCTTTCTTCTTGAAAGCTTTTTGTATCTCTTTTATTGTGTCTCAAAAATAGGGGTTTGTAGTTTATAACTAAGGTGCATAGTCATTGTCATGTGCATAGAGGGGACATCCT